AAGAGCCTGCGGTTTGTTGTGCTTGGCCGTGTCGATTTCAGGGGCCTTTGTTTGGGTTTTTGGCAGGCGCAGTGCGGCGTGCGCGCCACGTGGAGGCAGCCAACTTTGCCGACCGCACGGGACTCCACTCCAGCACCCCCTCCCCGCACGCGGGAAGCCACCCCGACACATTACGACACATTACGCAAATCATTCATTGCCGCGGGTGCCCTACAGAGTCATCGGCGTTCGCTGTCGGTGTTAACTGGCGGCCGGAGCTGAGCGCAGGCAGCGGCTGCTGTGACGCTACTGGGGGGCTGGGAGCCTGTTGGGGGGGGGGGGGGCTGGGAGCCTGTTGGGGGGGGGGGGGGGCGGACCCTGTTGGGGGGGGGGCTGGGAGCCTGTTGGGGGGGGGCTGGGAGCCTGTTGGGGGGGGGTCTGGGAGCCTGTTTGGGGGGGGGGCTGGGAGCCTGTTGGGGGGGGGGGGGCTGGGAGCTGTTGAGGGGGGGGAGCTGGGAGCCTGTTGGGGGGGGGGGGCTGGGACCCTGTTGGGGGGGGGGGCTGGGAGCCTGTTGGGGGGGGGCTGGGAGCCTGTTGGGGGGGGTCTGGGAGCCTGTTTGGGGGGGGGGGGGGAGCCTGTTGGAGGGGGGCTGGGAGCCTGTTTGGGGGGGGGGGCTGGGAGCCTGTGGGGGGGGGGGGGCTGGGAGCCTGGAGGGGGGGGGCTGGGAGCCTGTTTGGGGGGGGGCTGGGAGCTGTTGAGGGGGGGGAGCTGGGAGCCTGTTGGGGGGGGGGGCTGGGAGCCTGTTGAGGGGGGGGAGCTGGGAGCCTGTTGAGGGGGGGGAGCTGGGAGCCTGTTGGGGGGGGGGGCTGGGAGCCTGTTGAGGGGGGGGGCTGGGAGCTGTTGGGGGGGGAGCTGGGAGCCTGTTGGGGGGGGGGCTGGGAGCCTGTTGAGGGGGGGGGCTGGGAGCCTGTTGAGGGGGGGGGCTGGGAGCCTGTTGAGGGGGGGGGCTGGGAGCCTGTTGAGGGGGGGGGGCTGGGAGCCTGTTGAGGGGGGGGGGCTGGGAGCCTGTTGAGGGGGGGGGCTGGGAGCCTGTTGGGGTGGAGCTGGGAGCCTGTTGAGGGGGGGGGAGCTGGGAGCCTGTTGAGGGGGGGGGGCTGGGAGCCTGTTGAGGGGGGGGGCTGGGAGCCTGTTGAGGGGGGGGGGGCTGGGAGCCTGTTGAGGGGGGGGGGGCTGGGAGCTGTTGAGGGGGAGGGCTGGGAGCCTGTTGAGGGGGGGGCTGGGAGCCTGTTGAGGGGGGGGGGGCTGGGAGCCTGTTGGGGGGGGGCTGGGAGCCTGTTGAGGGGGGGGGGCTGGGAGCCTGTTGAGGGGGGGGAGCTGGGAGCCTGTTGAGGGGGGGGGCTGGGAGCCTGTTGAGGGGGGGGGCTGGGAGCCTGTTGGGGTGGAGCTGGGAGCCTGTTGAGGGGGGGGGCTGGGAGCCTGTTGAGGGGGGGCTGGGAGCCTGTTTGGGGGGAGGGGGCTGGGAGCCTGTTGAGGGGGGGGCTGGGAGCCTGTTGAGGGGGGGGCTGGGAGCCTGTTTGGGGGGGTGGAGCTGGGAGCCTGTTGAGGGGGGGGGCTGGGAGCCTGTTGAGGGGGGGGCTGGGAGCCTGTTGAGGGGGGGCGGGCTGGGAGCCTGTTGAGGGGGGGGGGCTGGGAGCCTGTTGAGGGGGGGGGGCTGGGAGCTGTTGAGGGGGGGGGGGCTGGGAGCCTGTTGGGGGGGGGGGGCTGGGAGCCTGTTGGGGGGGGGGGGCTGGGAGCCTGTTGAGGGGGGGGGGGCTGGGAGCCTGTTGGGGGGGGGGGGCTGGGAGCCTGTTGAGGGGGGGGGCTGGGAGCCTGTTGAGGGGGGGGGGGCTGGGAGCCTGTTGAGGGGGGGGGGGGCTGGGAGCCTGTTGGGGGGGGGGGGCTGGGAGCCTGTTGGGGGGGGGGGGCTGGGAGCTGTGGGGGGGGGGGCTGGGAGCCTGTTGAGGGGGGGGGGCTGGGAACCTGTTGAGGGGGGGGGCTGGGAGCCTGTTGGGGGGGGCTGGGAGCCTGTTGAGGGGGGGGCTGGGAGCCTGTTGGGGGGGGGGGGCTGGGAGCTGTTGAGGGGGGGGGGGCTGGGAGCCTGTTGAGGGGGGGGGGGGCTGGGAGCCTGTTGGGGGGGGGCTGGGAGCCTGTTGAGGGGGGGGCTGGGAGCCTGTTTGGGGGGGGGAGCTGGGAGCCTGTTGGGGGGGGCTGGGAGCCTGTTGGGGGGGTCTGGGAGCCTTTTGAGGGGGGGGGGCTGGGAGCCTGTTGAGGGGGGGGGGCTGGGAGCCTGTTGAGGGGGCGGGGGGGCTGGGAGCCTGTTGAGGGGGGGGGGGCTGGGAGCCTGTTGAGGGGGGGGGGGGCTGGGAGCCTGTTGAGGGGGGGGGCTGGGAGCCTGTTGGGGGGGGGCTGGGAGCCTGTTGAGGGGGGGGGCTGGGAGCCTGTTGAGGGGGGGGGGCTGGGAGCCTGTTGAGGGGGGGGGGGCTGGGAGCCTGTTGAGGGGGGGGGGGCTGGGAGCCTGTTGGGGGGGGGGGCTGGGAGCCTGTTGAGGGGGGGGAGCTGGGAGCCTGTGAGGGGGGGGGGCTGGGAGCCTGTTGAGGGGGGGGAGCTGGGAGCCTGTTGGGGGGGGGGGCTGGGAGCCTGTTGAGGGGGGGGGCTGGGAGCCTGTTGGGGGGGGGGGCTGGGAGCCTGTTGAGGGGGGGGCTGGGAGCCTGTTGAGGGGGGGGAGCTGGGAGCCTGTTGAGGGGGGGGCTGGGAGCCTGTTGGGGGGGGGGGGCTGGAGCCTGTTGAGGGGGGGGAGCTGGGAGCCTGTTGAGGGGGGGGGCTGGGAGCCTGTTGGGGGGGGGCTGGGAGCCTGTGAGGGGGGGGCTGGGAGCCTGTGAGGGGGGGGGCTGGGAGCCTGTTGAGGGGGGGGAGCTGGGAGCCTGTTGGGGGGGGGGCTGGGAGCCTGTTGAGGGGGGGGGCTGGGAGCCTGTTGGGGGGGGGGCTGGGAGCCTGTTGGGGGGGGCTGGGAGCATGTGAGGGGGGGGGGCTGGGAGCCTGTGGGGGGGGGGGCTGGGAGCCTGTTGAGGGGGGGGGCTGGGAGCCTGTTGGGGGGGGGGGGCTGGGAGCCTGTTTGAGGGGGGGGGCTGGGAGCCTGTTGGGGGGGGGAGCTGGGAGCCTGTTGAGGGGGGGGGCTGGGAGCCTGTTGGGGGGGGGGGCTTGGAGCCTGTTGGGGGGGGGAGCTGGGAGCCTGTTGAGGGGGGGGCTGGGAGCCTGTTGGGGGGGGGGGAGCTGGGAGCCTGTTGGGGGGGGGGAGCTGGGAGCCTGTTGGGGGGGGGTTGGGACCCTGTTGAGGGGGGGGGGCTGGGAGCCTGTTGGGGGGGGGCTGGGACCCTGTTGGGGGGGGGGCTGGGAGCCTACTGGGGGGGGGGGGCTGTATTTCTATCTGCACCATATCCGGTGTTGCTGAACTCCGGATCCTGCTCCGTGTATCCATCAGCCCCGAGCCCAGTAAGTTGAGATGTCACATTTCTCTGGCAGCGTAGCGAGCGAGTCTACGCGTAGCGCAACCGCCGTTCGATTCCCCACGGAGCGGCCCGGAGGGAGGCACGGAGAGCCGAGGCAACGCAACAACGAGCATTCGAACTCCGCAACCCTCTCTCTCCGCCACAATAAGCCATCGCCCCTCATCTCTTCACGTCAAACAAGTGTCCCCCACCCTGCCCCCCACCGTCTCGCAACCCCCGCTCGTGGCCTGCAGCGACAACGACCGCCGTCGAGGGAGGAGACCCGAGGGGGCGCGGGGGGGGGGGGGGTCGTGCACCCCCACTCCGAAGCGTCACTTGCGGTTTGGGCGTCTCGGGTCCGCGCCGCGCGGCGCAGTCCGAGGTCGCCGCGCACGACGGGCGAGCCAGGCGCGTGCACGCCCGTGTCCGCGTGCACGCACCAGCACTCGCCTCGCTGCCCGCTCAGCGACGTGCGGCACTGCGCGCGGCGGCGGCGCGAGCCGCAGCACGCCGGGGGAGGGGTGGGGAGGGGGGTGGAGAGGGAGGGTGGGTGAGGGGGGGGAGGAGAGGGAGGGGTGGGGTGGGTGGGAGGGAGGGAGGGTGGGTGGACGGGAGGGAGGTATGGAGGGGAGGGAGGGTGGGAGGGAGGGTGGGTATGAAGGGAGGGAGGGGAGGGAGAGTGGGGAGGGAGGGGAAGGTAGGAGGGGTAGGGGAGGGAGGGTGGGTGGAAGGGAAGGTAGGAGGGAGGGAGGGAGGGTGGGTGGAAGGGAGGGGAGGGGAGAGTGGGAGAGGAGATGGGAGGGGAGGGAGGGGAGGGAGTGGAAGGTAGGAGGGAGGGGAGGGAGGGTGGGAGGGGAAGGTAGGAGGGAGGGGAGGATGGGAGAAGAGGGGGGAGGGGAGGGAGGGAGAGGAGAGGGAGGGGAAGGTAGGAGGAGGGGAGGGAGGGGTAACGTCACGCAACGAGCAGTAACAACAGGGGCTTGCCACCCTCGGCTGGTAGAGGCCGTCACAGATGAATGAATGATGTGAGCAATGCGAACGAACGAGCGAGTGGACGAGTGGGTGGGTGGGTGAGGTGAGCGAGTGGATGTGTGGGTGAGTGGGTGGGTGGGTGTGTGGGTGGGTGGGTGGGTGTGTGAGTGAGCGAGGTGGATGTGTGGGTGCGTGGGTGGGTGGGTCAGTGGGTGGGCGAGTGGGTGGGTGGGTAGTGGGTGGGTGGGGTGAGTGGGTGAGTGGGTGGGCGAGTGGATGTGTGATGGGTTAGTGAGCGAGTGGATGTGGGATGGGTGAGTGAGCGAGTGGATGTGTGGGTGGGTGAGTGGGTGAGTGGTGGGTGGGCGAGTGGATGTGTGGGTGGGTGAGTGGGTGGGTGGGTGAGTGGGTGGGTGGGTGAGTGGATGAGTGGGTGGGTGGGTGAGTGGGCTGGTGAGTGGGTGGGTGGGTGGGTGAGTGGATGATGGGTGAGTGAGTAGGTGAGTGGGGTGGGTGGGCGAGTGGATGTGGGTGGGTTGAGTGGGTGGATGTGTGGGTGGGTGAGTGGTGAGTGGGTGAGTGGTTGGGTGGGTGAGTGGGTGGTGATGAGGGGTGGGTGGCCACCTGCTTGGCGTGGTAGAGGCCGTCGCGGCTGCAGTTGGGGATGTAGAGGAGGTAGAGCTCCTCCAGTGGGACGCGCTCCTCGCGCGAGCAGCCGCTGCAGCCGCTCGATCTTCTCCACCACCGCCTCGAGCTCCTGCAGGCACTGAGCAGCAGCAGCAGCAGGAGCAGCAGTAGCAGGAGCAACAGCAGCAGCAGGAGTATGAGCAGCAGCAACAGGAGCAGCAGCAGGAGCAGCAGCAGTAGCAGGAGCAACAGCAGCAGCAGGAGCAGCAGCAGCAGCAGGAGGAGCAGCAGCAACAGGAGCAGCAGCAGTAGCAGAAGCAGCAGCAGCAGTAGCAGGAGCAGCAGCAACAGCAGCAGCAGCAGGAGCAGCAGAGCAGCAGCAGGAGCAGCAGCAGCAGCAGCGTCCACCAGCAGCACTTGAGCAGCGGCACTACCAGCACCGGTGTTCATTGCGTGCTCGTGAAGGGGTCGAGGGGATGGGTGGTGGGGTGGGTGGTGGTGTGGGTGGTGAGGTGGGTGGTGGGGTGGGGTGGGTGGTGGGGTGGGTGGTGGGGTGGGGTGGGGGGGTGGTGGGGTGGGGTGGGTGGTGGGGTGGGGGGGGTGGGGTGGGGTGTGGGGTGGGGTGGGGGTGGGTGGTGGGGTGGGTGGTGGGGTGGGTGGTGGGGTGGGGTGGTCCAGGACTGATTCTGATTTCACTCCCACCGACTGCTGTTAGCGGTTGCGGGAATCGAAACGGCGTGGCTTAATCTTCATATTTCGATTTAAAGCTTTCGTGACTGCAGGGAGTATCTTCTTGGTTCTTTCGGTAAAGTCACGTAGAAGGGAAATAATAAACTAAGAAAAATAAAACATAATAAAATACAATTTTCACGACCGTTTCAGCCACAACGCAAGCAGCCGTCCCCAGGTGAAGAACAGCGTCCACTTCAGACGCTGTCTTTCCGACAGCCCTGTTTCGGGCGCAACACAAGCGTCCGTCATCAGGTGGGAAAATCATGGCCTGCTGCCCCAGAGCTTATGTTGCGCCCGAAACGTCGTGATTTATGTATTTTCTACCCACGTGACTTTACCGAAAGAACCAAAAAGCACGGCGTGGGCTACGTCGCTGCGCTGCGCGCTCCCCACTGCACCACCGCCCCGGCTCGCTGCAACCTGCCACCACCCAGACCCACCCCCCCACCCACCCCTCCTCACAGGTGGCAACCAACCCCCCCGGCACCCACTCACCGGGCCGTGCCTCCCCCAGGGCTTCACGTGCCGCGGGTTGGCGCTGCCATCCGGCAGGGCGTTTGGCCGAAAGTTCGCGTGCTGCCTGCCGGCTTGCTGCTGCTGCTGCTGTTGGGGGAGGCTGCGTCCACCGCCCTCCCTGCTGCCGTTGTGCATGCGGCGGCGCTCCTGGCCCTGCTTCTGCACGCGCTCCCGATGCACAGCCACGGCATTTGCCGTCGTCGGGATGCGAGGTCCGCGCCGGCAGGGGCAGCGGCTGGGGTTGCGCGGGTCCTGCTGCAGGGGGGGCTCCTGCACCGTCGACGTTGCTCGCGACGTCGCGGACGAAGCCTCCTCGTCCTTGTCCGTGTTGTTCGCCATCTGCGCCACGGGCACCGTTAAACATTCCACCATCTCCTCCACCACCTCCTTCACCTCCTCCTCCTCCTCCACGCAGAGCCCTCTCTTGAGAGACCACTTCTACCGTTCCGTGTTTTAGACCCCCCCCCCCCCCCCGTCTCTCTGCTCTCTGTGTGGAAACCTGCGTTTATATGCGAATGAGGATGGAGTTAATAAAATAATAAAAATAAAACATGATAAAATCATTCTCACGACGTTTCGGCCACAACGCAAGCAGCCGTCCTCAGGTGAAAACCAGGTCTGTCGGGGAGACAGACAGAGACGCTGTCTCCCCGACAGACCTGGTTTCACCTGAGGATGGCTGCTTGCGTTGTGGCCGAAACGTCGTGAGAATTATTTTATTATGTTTTATTTTTATTATTTTATTACTTCCCTTCTACGTGACTTTACCGAAAGAACCAAGAAGATGAATCCCTGCAGTCACGAAAGCTTTAAATCGATAAATGAGGATGGAGTTACTGATGATGATCATGACGAAGTAGTAGCGATAGGAATGAAGCCTCACAGAGCATTTGGGCACAATGTAGTGGTGGTGGTGGTGGGTTCGTGCCGCGCGTCGTTCTTGTGCGTGCGCTCGAGAGGGAACCTCATTCAAGAGCCGAATGGCTCACAGGGTATTCCTAAATAAATGAACTTGAACTCATGGGAATCGCACTTTTGAGGAGGCCACACAGCCCAGGCGCTCGGCTCCCAGACACAACGACCAACCCCCGTGACGCCGATCGTTATTGCCCGCAGTGCAAGGTTAATCATTACCCGTGTCAACATGTTTACGAGCGCTCTCGCCGTCCATCGCTCAAAGGTCCAAGTTGATTTCCCCTCTCTATATTAAGGCCCCGTCACAGAGACGGCCTCTCTCTTTGTGCCGATACGTGTTCTCTCTCTGTGTGTATCTTTATGATGTCTGTCTGCTTATATGTCTGCCTATAGTTTTCTGGTTAGATTTTTGTTGCTATTTCTTTTATACCTGACGATGAAGATTGCTTGTGTTGCAATCGAAACGTCGTAGTATGCTATTATTTAATTTATTATTTATCTTTATACGTGACTTTACCGAAAGAACCAAAGAATAATTCCTGCAGTCACGAAAGCTCCAAAATTAAGATTGAATGTTTTTGTAGTTAGATCGCGTCAGTATAAATGTGTCGTAGCCCTACACCACCCGACACAGCCAATCAGCAAAGGATTTGTCACGTAATCAAGACGCCAATTAGTTCCTAGTATAGTGTGTGTGGTGCAGTGTGTAGTGTACTGCTTCAGCCCAGCGGCGTGTTGGAGAGCAAATCCACAACAGTTACAATTTGAGTACGACGTTTCGCTGTAATTACATCCAGCATCATCGGACGATTATCAATAATATTGGTCGCGAAAGCCTGCGCGTTAAACTGATACTCCCCCTCCCCGCACCCCCTGCTCAGATGAGCGGTGCCCATCAGCCGCGGCGAATATTCCGCAAGCCGTGTGCGAGCCCAACCGGTGCTCGATCAATAAAAGGATACGAACCGGCAAATCGCGAGTCGCTCCCTCTACCCCCTCGCTGATCAACCTGGGCCCTGTCTGCGCACTCCCCCCGAGTGCGCAGTTACACCTAACCTGGCACAGCAGTCATCCCATAGCTGCTGCTGCTGGGTCTGTCCCCTGACCTCCTCCTGCACGTAACCTGGCACAGAATTCAACCCATGGCACCTGCTGAGTCTAGTCCCGTGACCTCCTCCTGCACATAGCCTGGCACAGCAGTCATCCCATGGCTGCTGCTGTGTCTGTCCCGTGACCTCATCCTGCACATAGCCTGGCACAGCAGTCAACCCATGGCACTACCTGGATCTGTTCCGTGACCTCTTATTGCAACCTAGTCTGGCACAGCAGTCAACCCATATCACCTGCTGGGTCTGTGACGTGACCTCCTGCACCTAACCTGGCACAGCAGTCAACAATTGACACCTGCTGGGTCTGTCCCGTGACCTCCTCCTCCTGCACCTAGCCTGGCACAGTAGTCCACCCATGCCACCTGCTGGGTCTGTCCCGTGACCTCCTCCTCCTGCACCTAGCCTGGCACAGCAGTCAACCCATGGCACCTGCAGGGTCTGTCCCGTGACCTCCTCCTGCACCTAGCCTGGCACAGCAGTCCACCAATGGCACCTGCTGGGTCTGTCCCGTGACCTCCTCCCCCTGCACCTAGCCTGGCACAGCAGTCAACCCATGGCACCTGCTGGGTCTGTCCCGTGACCTCCTCCTCCTGCACCTAGCCTGGCACAGCAGTCCACCCATGGCACTTGCAGGGTCTGTCCCGTGACCTCCTCCTCCTGCACCTAGCCTGGCACAGCAGTCCACCATGGCACCTGCAGGGTCTGTCCCGTGACCTCCTCCTCATGCACCTAGCCTGTCACAGCAGTCCACCCATGGCACCTGCAGGGTCTGTCCAGTGACCTCCTCCTCATGCACCTAGCCTGGCACAGCAGTCCACCCATGCCACCTGCAGGGTCTGTCCGCAAATATCGCCCAGGTGGATCTGGGCCCTCGAGGGAGTGCTCAGCGGGAGCACCGCGTCCCACCCAACCCCAAACCCCTAACCGAGCCCCACCGCTCACCGCGCTTGGCGCTGCTGGTGCAGATGCCGCGTCCACGCACCAGCGAGTGCAGGGGTCTCTCCTCGCCGGGCCGCGGGTAGCAGCGGAGACCCATGCCGCAGCGCGGTGTGTACACCCCGCACGCCTCGCCCTGGCGCGCCGCGCACACCGCGCAGCACCCGCAGCCCGGCTCCCGCGCCAGCTCGGGGCACCACGGGGGCGCCGTGGGGCAGCGCGACAGCGTCTCGGTCGAGCACGGCGGGCAGCCGAAAGCGGACTGCGTCTGCGTTGCGTCGACGAGCAGCGATGATGACGAGGAGGAGGACGAGGAGGAAGAGGAGGAAGAGGCGGCGCGTAAGCACGGAGCGCGTGCCACGGCCGTGAGCAGCACGAGGGAGCTCAGCAGGAATCTCGACATCGTCGCCAGCGTCGTCACCGACATCGTCGGTCGTGCTGCTCGCACGAGACCTGCTGACAACAACAACAACGACGACCACCTCCCTCCTCCTCCTCCACTGGATGACGGGGAGATGGCAGGCGAAGTCGCCACGGCGTGCGCGCGCGCAGGCCCCCGCCCCTCTCTCCTCCCTCCCCCCTCCTTCACGCAGCCGCGCAGCTCGTGGAGACGGCGATCCTGGGGATGGGACACGGCCGGGTGGAGAGAGGGGGAGGAGGTGGCAGGGAGGGAGGGGGAGGAGGGGGCTGGGAGGGAGGGGGAGGAAGAGGCTGGGAGGGGGTAGGAGGGGGGCTGGGAGGGAGGAGGAGGCTGGGAGGGAGGGTGAGGAGGGGGCTGGGAGGGAGGGGGAGGAGGAGGCTGGGAGGGAGGGAGGGTGAGGAGGGGGCTGGGAGGGAGGGGGAGGTAGAGTCTGGGAGGGAGGGGGAGGAAGAGGCTGGGAGAGAGGGGGAGGAGGGGGCTGGGCGGGGAGGAGGAGGCTGGGAGGGAGGGGGAGGTAGAGTCTGGGAGGGAGGGGGGGGAAGAGGCTGGGAGGGAGGGGGAGGAGGTGGATGGGAGAGAGGGGGAGGAGGTGGCTGGGAGGGAGGAGGAGGAGGGGGGGCTGGGAGGGAGGGGGAGGAGGAGGCTGGGAGGGAGGAGGAGGAGGGGCTGGGAGGGAGGGGGGAAGGAAGAGGCTGGAGGGAGGGGGAGGAGGTGGCTGGGAGGGAGGCGGAGGAGGGGGCTGGGAGGGAGGGGGAGGAGGAGGCTGGGAGGGAGGAGGAGGAGGGGGCTGGGAGGGGAGGGGGAGGAAGAGGCTGGGAGGGAGGGGGAGGAGGTGGATGGGAGAGAGGGGGAGGAGGTGGCTGGGAGGGAGGAGGAGGAGGGGCTGGGAGGGAGGGGGAGGAGGAGGCTGGGAGGAGGAGGAGGAGGGGGCTGGGAGGGAGGGGGAGGAAGAGGCTGGGAGGGAGGAGGGGGCTGGGAGGGAGGAGGAGGCTGGGAGGGAGGGTGAGGAGGGGCTGGGAGGAGGGGGGAGGAGGAGGTGGGAGGGAGGGAGGGTGAGGAGGGGGCTGGGAGGGAGGGAGAATGAGGAGGGGGCTGGGAGGGAGGGGGAGGAGGAGGCTGGGAGGAGGGGGCTGGGAGGGAGGGGGAGGAGGAGGAGGCTGGTAGGGGAGGGGGCGGAGGGGCGGAGGGGCTGGGAGGGAGGGGGGCGGAGGGGATGGGAGGGAGGGCGAGGAGGGGGCTGGGAGGGAGGGGGAGGAGGGGGCTGGGTGGGAGGGGGGAGGAGACTGGCTGGGAGGGAGGGGGGGAGGTGGATGGGAGGGAGGGTGAGGAGGGGGCTGGGGGGGAGGGTGAGGAGGAGGCGTAGTGGGCGAGGAGGGTGTTTCGCCCCCCCCCCCCCCCGGGAGAGTGTGGGCTGGGTGGGGATGGAGGCAACACGCCGAGTCTCGCGGTCCGCCTCAGTACGAACGCTGGCCGGCGTCACTCACCACACGCTGCAGTGGGGGGCTATGATGAGGAGGGGGGGGGGGGGGCGTTAGGGTGGCCTGCGTGGGAAGGGAGGGAGGGGCTCAGTGCTCGGATGAAGTTAGTGCGGGGCATGTCGCATATGATGTTATAAAAGGGGCCCTAAATGCAAAAAAAATCACTTAGATATATTAAAACAGAAATGTTTACTCGCATAGTAAAGTAATTGTATTTATCATTTCGCCTATACAGCCAGACAATACCACAAATCGCTCGCCTTAGACACACGGCCATTCATAAAAGTTGAAGGCGGTATCGTACTATAGTAATAAAGCACGTGCAGGATCACCGAATCAAAATTGCGGCTTGAAAGAAAGCATTTAGCGCGTTGGCCCATGAAAGTACGGGGCCCCGTAGCTACTACGTATGTTGTAGTAGCTGCATATTTAGCATCTACTACATATGTTAGTATATTAGCTATATATAGCTAAATTTCGATTTTAAAGCTTTCGTGACTGTGGGATTCATCTTCTTGGTTCTTTCGGTAAAGTCACGTAGAAGGGAAATAATAAAAGAAAAAAACATAATTAAAATATTAATTTTATTATGTTTTATAAATTAATTATTTTATCATGTTTTATTTTTCTTTTTTTATTGTTTCCCTTCTATGTGACTTACCGAAAGAACCAAGAAGATGTAGTAGCTACTTTTGCTACTACGACTGCCACCGAGGGTCGCTTTCATTTCCCCGGAGGAGGAGGACTAATAATAATAAAAACCACCACGTCTGCGCATGGCTCTGGTACAATGTCACCGTGTTGTTGCTGCTGCTGCTGCTATCATCACGGCGTTTGTTTTACCCAGGGAAAGCCTCACTGGGTCTCAAGACCTCCTGCCAAGTTCTCGCGGCAGGCAGGGAAAGCTATCGACGTGCGAGATAAGTCGGTTGGGCCGTTGAATCAGACTGTGAGACACTCCCTCCGCCAAGCACCACGATCGGTTCTGACGGGCAAACAAGAAGAAGAGCGTTCATTGTGCGTGGAGGGAAGGAGCGTGGAGGGGGGGAGAAGGGATCCCTACTGGGAGCAGAGTCTAAGCCCGAAACTCCCCCCCCCCCCCCAGTGCCTGCCCTAGCAATGCCACTTTGCGAAACAGCGCCGCAGGCAATGCCTGGGGCATTCTCTCAGCATCCATTATTATAGAATATTTTTAATTATGATTAAACAAGGACCCCGATACAAAGCGCCAGCGACAGTCGGGGTGGGATGGGGGGGTTCATCTATCCATTATACTGGTAGGAACGAAGTGGACCAGACCACCAATAGATTAATGTGTCCGTCCGTCCGTTTAAACCTGTCTGCGATAACTCTCTTAGCGCTGCGTGTATGACCTATCCGGACGAGTCTAATATATTAGCGAGGAAGTTGAAAGCAGGGGGTGGTTGATCTTGGATGATTCTAGATTTGAAGTTTTTGGTGACTGCAAGGATCCATTCTCTTGGTTCTTTCGGTAAAGGCACGTAGGTAAAGAAAATAATAAATAAAAATAAAATGAAAGATAAAAATGAAATATAAATAAATCACGACGTTTCGATTGCAACACAATGATGATGGTTGCTTGTGTTGCAATCAAAACGTCGTGATAAAATTTTATTTATTTTTATATTTTATTTTATTTCTTTTATTATCTTTACCTACGTGACTTTACCGAAAGAACCAATCTCGGATGATGGTTGGCACAGGCGGACCGCCGTGCTCCATGTCGCTTCACGTTGTGATGGAGGCTGCGTTGCCAGACGCTAAGTGCAGGAGCTTCCAGTTTACACGGTACGGATATAGCAAGGCTGTAATTGTAATATATATTTGGGGGGACACATCCCCCCCCAATATTCAAATATGCTCAAAATGTCCCCCCCTCCCAATATATTGCTATAAAAATAATAATAATTGCTATGCTATGTAAATAAAAAGAACAATTTGCTAAACCTTGGCCACAATATCTGGACTTGTCTTCATGTAAATCAATGCATCGATTTCTGTTCATATGATTGTGGTTATGTTTGTTCTTTATTCATCCCTAATCTCTGCCATTACATACGATGAAACAAGAAATGGTTAAAAAATATGAAAACAGAGCAATGTGATACAATACACTATTAGACATTATTGTCAAAAATAATCAAAAGTCCATCCCATGTGTTGGTGAATTTTTTTTTATATTTTAGGCAGGAAATTCGTTTTACAATTTAGATATTTTTCTGGGTTGGGACCCCCAGACACCCTGGAAGATTTGGTCCCCCCCCAATGTTGACCTCCATGGCTATGGCCTTGGTATATAGTAACCCCGCCCTTTCACCAGCCCGCACGACGACCAACAAGGTGAAGTATGGGTCAACTAACCGTCAAAACCGACCGCAGCGTGCAACATTCCTTGTCCGTGGCATCAGGGCCGGATTAATGTTCTTGGAGGGCCCGAGGCGCTTCTGATTCTGAAGCCTTCTGTGAACACATTCCTGCGGAGGGAGCTGTAGGAACGTTGGGTTGCTCGGTCAATGGCCAGGGTCAACGGCGGCCGTGGTGTATTCCGCAAATATGCCCCGACTGTGAGGGCGGGCACAAGCCGGCGTGAGTAGGTTAAACGTTGAGTTTATAAGGAAACCACGGGGTGACCAGCCCATCCCCACCCAGCCCCACCCTACCCTACCCAGCACCCAACCTCCCCACCCCAGCCCCTCCCCACCCCCTCCCCACCCAGCCCCTCCCCACCCTCCCCTCCCCCACCCAGCCCCACCCAGCCACTCCCCACCCTCCCCTCCCCACCCAGCCCCACCCTCCCCACCCAGCCCCTCCCCACCCTCCCCTCTCCACCCAGCCCAACCCTCCCATTTTTGGATGCACGACTGACGGACGGACACAATAATCCCCCTGTGGGCTGGTGGAACCAGGAGGTTCCTACAGTAAGACTCTCTGCAACTGATACTGCTGCCACCCCACCACACTACCTCTACGGTCGCTTGTGTCACGCGTAGCACAACGACGCATTGTCTCCCCTGTTGCCACTATTACCCTCTTGAGAAATGGGATTAGGGGCCGTCCATAAATGACCGTCACGCAAATTTGGACGATTTTTACCCCCCCCCCTCGTCACACGGCGTCACAAAAAGTCAGACCCCCCCCCTTAAATATGACGTCACAAAGCTCTGCCCCCCCCTACCCCCCCAAAAAACAATATTTCCATTTTGAAAATAAAACATTCTTCAAATCGCTTTAAACTATTGTCATTGTAGTGCGTATTTAATGTGGCGCAACACTCTGATGTTGTAAGAGTGTTGTTATAACAATTTGTGTTGTATTACAATTATATATTTTAAATTATTATATTTTATTTCTATTATTATTATTTTATTTTTTTATGTTTTACCTACATGACTTTACCGAAAAAACCTAAGAGTATGAATCCTTGCAGTCACGAAAGCTTCAAATCTAGAATTCTATATTTATTTAAAGTTGCGCATTTTTATGTGACGTCACATTTCTCAACCCCCCCCCCCTCGTCACACATCGTCACAAATGTCTGACCCCCCCCCCCTCCTAGGTGCGTGACGTCATTTATGGACGGCCCCTTATGCGAAAAAAACTATTTGAAGATGTTATTTGCTGATATTAGCAATGAAACAAATGACAGAGAAGTTCATCTCAGGTGTTAATTTCTCTCTCGCCTTGTAAAAAAAGCGATTCACATTACTGCCTCTTTGTTGTACACACTGTGCATATCCTCGCTATATAAATACAATTATTCAAGAAGATATCTTGGTTAGTAAAAAATTTGAATCATACACACATACTAACAAAAAACGTGGTCAACATTTTGTTTTTATCATAGCCCCTTTTAGTTTTCGTTGGCCCTAGGACACGGTGACTATAATCTTACCTTTGGAGCTTTCGTGACTGCAGGAATTATTCTTTGGTTCTTTCGGTAAAGTCATGTATAAAGAAAAAATAATAAATTAAATAATAGCATACGACGTTTCGATTGCAACACAAGCAATCATCATTATACCTGATGATGATTGCTTGTGTTACAATCGAAGCGTCGTATGCTATTATTTAATTTGTTATTTTTTCTTTATACGTGACTTTACCGAAAGAACCAAAGAATAACACAGTGCCTACTTTGGCCTATTGGGATAATACTGGTAGAAACCCACTGGTTCCACCAGCCCACAGGGGATTCTTGTGTCCGTCCGTCCGTCGTGAAGGGATGGGCTGGGTGGGGAGGGAGGGGCTGGGTGGGGAGGGTGGGGAGGGTGGGCTGGGTGGGGAGGGGCTGGTCACCCCGTGGTGTCCTTATAAAACTCAACGTTTAACCTACTCACGCCGGCTTATGCCCGCCCTCACAGTCGGACATATTTGCGGAATACACCACGCCGCCGTTGACCCTGGCCATTGACCGAGCAACCCAACGTTCCTACCAGCTACCTCCGCACGAATGTGTTACAGCCCAACGTGGCATCTGGAACAGAAATTGGCACTGACATCGCTCACGGCATTACGTGGCCGGGGCTGAGACGCGCATTCCCAGCGATGTTCTGGAATGGACTAGGGACGTTGACTTGCGGTGCAAATGCAGTCGAGTCTACGCCATACATTGCCCACGGGGCACAACGGAATCTCGTCGTTGGAAAATCCTTGCTGGTTTTTTCCAGGATTTTTCTGTTGCGTGCAGTCACTTTAAGATTCTATATTTGAAGCTTTCGTGACTGCAAGGATTCATACTCTTCGGTAAAGTCACGTAGGTAAGACGGAGACTTGTGTTGCCTCCGAAACGTCGTGATTTAATTTAGTTATTTTTTATTGTATTATTACTATTATTTTACCTACGTGACTTTAGCGAAAAAACCTAAGAGTATCACTTTTAGATGTTTCTTGTTCATGTTTTTTTTTGTTGCGGTTGCACCCGAGTCAAGAGCCGTATGGCTCACAGGGTTATGCCTAATAAATGAAATTGAAAATAAATGAAACTGAAACTCCGAAAAGCCATATTCTTTGGGGTCTGTCGGTAAGTCACGTAGATGGTTCAAAGAAATTTACCAAAAAACACTACGACGTTTCGATCGCAACACAAGCGATCGTCATCAGCAGGAAAGAGGAAAAACACGTGGTCAACATTTTTATCATTAGGGACCGTCCATAAATGACGTCACGCACCTATGGGGGGGGGTAGTCAGATTTTTGTGACGTGTGACGAGGGGGGGGGGGGTGAGAAATGTGACGTCACGTAAAAATGCGCATCTTTAAATAAATCTAGAATTGTTATAACAACACTAATTGTTATAACAACACTAATTGTTATAACACTAATTGTTATAACAACACTAATTGTTATAACAACACTAATTGTTATAACAACACTAATTGTTATAACAACACTCCTACAACATCAGAGTGCAGCGCCACATTAAATACGCACTGCAATGACAATAGTTTAAGAAGTATATTTAATAAAGTAGAACGTGTTGTCTATATTATGCACTCTGATGTTGTAGGAGTGTTTTTATAACAATGAGTGTTGTTATAACAATTATATATTTATTTAAAGTAGCGCATTTTGATGTGACGTCACATTTCTCACCCCCCCCTCTCTCGTCACACATCGTCACAAATGTCTGACCACCCCCTAGGTGCGTGACGTCATTTATGGACAGCCCCTATACACTACACTATACACTACTATACACTACACTATACACTAATATACACTACACTATACACTACTGTACACTACACTATACACTACTATACACTACACTATACACTACTATACACTACGCTACTCTACACTATTATACAATACACTATTCACTACACTACTATACACTACACTACTATACACTACACTATTATACAATACACTATTCACTACACTACTATACACTACACTATACACTACACTACTATACACTACACTATTATACAATACACTATTCACTACACTACTATACACTACACTATACACTACACTACTATACACTACACTATTATACAATACACTATACACAACACTATACACTACACTATACACAACACTATACACTACACTATACACAACACTATACACTACACTACTATACACTACACTATACACTACACTACTATACACTACTATACACTACACTATTATACAATACACTATTCACTACACTACTATACACAACACTATACACTACACTATTATACACTACACTACTATACACTACACTATTATACAATACACTATTCATTACACTACTATACACTACACTATACACTACACTATTATACACGACACTACTATACACTACACTATTATACACTACACTATACACTACACTACTACACACTACACTATACACTACTATACACTACACTACTATACACTACACTACTATACACTACACTATACACTATTATACACTACACTACTATACAGTACACTATACACTACACTATTATACACTACTATACACTACACTATACAACACTATACACTACACTATACACACTGCGCTATACACTACGTTGTAAAATTCTCCACTAATCGATGCCCCAGATTCGACTCTCGCGTAACGTGCAATCCTTAGAATCGATTCCTTGACGAAGACACAGCCCGGCGATGCCGAAGAATCGACTCCTGCGTTAAGTACCATCCCGAGAATCGATTCCTTGACGTTGTATTTAATTTATTAAATCGAAACCTAAGAACGAGAGTGACGCCACGCCCCCCTCCACCACGTCAACGTCACGTGCTACGAAATGCGCGCGGCCCATTGGTTGAATTTGGCGGGAACTTGACCACGTGACCCGTTTTGGCGCGAAATCGCCTGTGCGGTGACGAAAGAGATCAACGCGGCGATTCCATCTTTCTCGTCTCCTCCAACCTCGTCTCCTTCACCACCTCCTCCACCTCGTCTCCTCATCAACCTCCTCGGCCATCGCGAGCCATGGATGTGCAGGAGCCTGTTCAGGGCCACGCTGGCCAGACGGTGAAAGATGAGTTGGCCGAGAAGTGTCAGAAACTCTTCCAAGACTTCCTTGAGGAGTAAGTGGGGCCTCTAAAAAGCTCTCGTGTCACTCCACTGCTTGATGAATGACCTGGTGCCGTGTTAACCCATTTCAGGTTTACTCCGTATTCTTGTGCAGGGAAATTGAGTTGTCAGGTCCATAGGGCCCGTACAGCCGTTTCAATACAGGCACACACAAATAAATGTGTCTTTGTGTTTCTCCCTTGTGATGGGACTTTGTAGAGTGAACGTTGATATTTATAAGGGTACGGGGTGGCCAATAAGGTATTTAATTGGTCTGTAATAAGGTAGGCACTGATCAGGGGTTGACAGGTGTGAGAGTGTGGGTGAGTGTAGTAGTGGTGAGTGTACTAGTGGTGAGTGTAGTGGTGAGTGAGTGTAGTGGTGAGTGAGTGTAGTAGTGGTGAGTGTAGTGGTGAGTGAGAGTAGTAGTGGTGAGTGTAGTGGTGAGTGAGTGTAGTGGTGAGTGAGTGTAGTGGTGAGTGAGTGTACTAGTGGTGAGTGTAGTAGTGGTGAGTGTACTAGTGGTGAGTGTACTAGTGGTGAGTGTAGTAGTGGTGAGTGTAGTGGTGAGTGAGTGTAGTAGTGGTGAGTGTAGTGGTGAGTGAGAGTAGTAGTGGTGAGTGTAGTGGTGAGTGCTAGTGGTGAGTGAGTGTAGTAGTGGTGAGTGTAGTGGTGAGTGCTAGTGGTGCTGATTGTCGATTTGGTCGTGTGTGTCTCCCTTGTCATGGGACTTTCTATGATGAACGTTGATATTTATAAGGGTACGGGGTGGCCAATAAGGCTTTTAATTGGTCTGTAATAAGGTAGGCACTGATCAGGGGTTGACAGGTATGAGAGTGTGTGGGTGAATGTAGTAGTGGGTGAGTGTAGTGGTGAGTGCTAGTGGTGAGTGTAGTAGTCGTGAGTGTAGTAGTGGTGAGTGCTAGTGGTGAGTGCTAGTGGTGGTGAGTGTAGTGGTGAGTGTAGTAGTGGTGAGTGTAGTGGTGAGTGAGTGCTAGTGGTGAGTGCAGTACTTTAGTAGTGGTGAGTGCTAGTGGTGCTGATTGTCGATTTCTTTGTGTGTGTCTCCCTTGTCGTGGAACTTTCTATGATGAACGTTGAAATTTTTAAGGGTACGAGGTGGTCAATAAGGTCTTTAATTGGTCTGTAATAAGGTAGGCACTGATAAGGGGTTGACAGGTATGAGAGTGTGTGGGTGAGTGTAGTAGTGGTGATTGTCGATTTGTTCATGTGTGTCTCCCTTGTCATGGGACTTTCTATGATGAACGTTGAGATTTCTAAGGGCACGGAGGCTGACGAAATCATATCTGAATTGGTCTGTAATAAGGTAGGGGCACTGATAAGGGGTTGACAGCTTATGGAGGAGTCTGACCGCACAAGTAACTTCACGACGCGCCGCGAGTGTAAGAAGATTTTATTTGCCGCTGATGTTTAAATCGTGACACTGGAATTAAGTTTCGTTTGCGTGAGCGGTCTCAGTCACTAACGTGGCAAATGGAACTCGGGTTGCATATCTGTTAATCCCTTATCAGTGCCCGAACTAACTTATTACAGACCAATTCATACCGTATTGGTCACCCCGTGCCTCTTATAAATATCAACGTTCATCTTACAAAATCCCATCACAAGGGAGAAACACAAGCAAATAGACAAATATCATGTTGCTAAACTAAAACTGTTTTATGTATTTATTTTGACAATTGGTGTCAATGATGCTGCTTATGATCTTGCACGCCGATGCTGCTGTTTGCTTGATATGTGGATGCACAACACAATGCTACGGGGAATCGCTACTGTCCAGAGGTTAAAAAAGCTGTCCCATTACTTTTTTTATTTGGCCGTACGATTTTTGTTATTGAAGCAGCAGCAGCAGCTGTGGGCTGCATAGGGAGCGGGGTGTTTGTGTCGAGGGAGACCATAAAGTAACTACTGTATTCATGTACAATACAACTCCACATAGTGTATGTTGAACTTCTTTCACACCATACGTAGCCAACCGTGCTCATCGGAGGTGCGGCGGAAGGCCAACAAACTAAACACAAAAAGCTATTAGAAAGAAATGAGTTTCAATCGAGTTGATTCAAAAGTGCATAGCTCCAGTGGCTTCCTAATATCGGAAGGAAGAGCGTTCCAGATGGCCGCAGAAGCTTATCTGAAAGCGCACGATGCAGTCACCGTTTTTGTTCGATGGCTTCGCCACAAGCAGCTGTGAGGAAGACCCCAGTTCGCGTGATGGTTTATGCTCCTTGATGAGATCAGCAAGGTTTCGTGGTTCATTTGTGGCAAGCCTAAGTAATTTTTCACCTGGCTAAATGAACTGTAATAACATTAGTGGGGAAATAAGATTTTTTTTATTATTATGTCATGAGAAATCGTATCGTGGGGGAGTTTGGTCTGGTTGGCTTGGAGCACAAGTCGCTCTCATTGACTGAACGAATGATAGGGGTGGGGACGTTTCCTCTGCCGGCGTTGCAGCGTGTTTTCGCTCGTAAGCGCTGATTTTATTTTTGGTAAGCATTTTTCCAGGACAAAGAGCACACTATAACTAATCAGCATTCTAATACAGGGTCGTGTTAATAGAGGTCTGCCTGTAAAATAAAACACATTGATGAGCACCACACCCCATGCTTGCCCCTCACCCTCGCTCACCCGTGCCCTTCTCAAGCTCACCGTGCCCCTCGCTCACCCGTGCCCCTCGCTTGGCACGACCCTTTTGTCCGTCTCCTCTGCGGAGCAGGTTCCAGACGGCAGAAGGCGAGAGGAAGTATGTTCGAGACGCCGAGGAGCTTGGCCGCCCCGAGCGGAACACGCTGGTGGTGGACTTCACGGACCTGGAGCAGCACAACCAGCAGTTGGCCACCACTGTACAGGAGGATTACTACAGGTGCCACTGGCCGTCCCACCAATTATCAGAGAACCAACCAATTTCCAGATTGAGCCAGCCGATTCTCAGACGGCGTAACCTGCCGTGTGTCTGTGTGCCGCAGGGTCTACCCCTACCTGTGCCGTGCCATCCGTAACTTTGCCCGCGACCACTGGAAGGACATCCCGCAGGCGAAGGAGTTTTACGTGGCCTTCACGGAGGTGCTCGCCAGACACAAGTGGGTGCTGCGTGCTTCTCCCTCTGCGTACCTCCCAGTGTCTCAAACGGGCAACGCTGCTCTAGCCCAACCCTGCCCTTGTCTCCCTTAACATGGTTCGAGTGCATCTGTCAGCAAGTGTCAGCGGTGCTGCGTGTTAGTTTTCCCAACGATTATTGTAACACGTCACTTCTCACTAAAAGCTGCAGATGAATATTCTGACTGGGTCTGTGATCGTGAAGTTCGGTGAGTGATCGGCTTCCTGCTTTATTAAGAAGAAATTCGACTTGTAACTTGCACAATTTTGCAAACAGACTCAAGCGACCTGAAGTTTGTCGATGTTCTTTATTGATGTCATGCGAGTGTAGCATTGCAGTAGTCGAGTCGGGAACTCAGAATCATAATATTTATTTATAGTGGAGGAATCCGATGAGCTGTAAAGTTATTTTTCACCGATATCCACTAGGGGCGGGTAAGAACGTTACAACAACAAACAATACAAAACACGATAATAGTGCAAAGTACAAGAAAGGTAAAATAAATCACCCAAATACATACAAATAAAACTAAACTATCCCCATGATGGTGTTGGCTACAGTGGTCAGGAGTGTCGGACGGATGTCCCGCAGAGCTCTTGAGGTGGTAACGTCATGCACTCACTCGACTGTCTACTGAGAGATATTGGATGAGTTCTCCCACTGAGGATTTTAAGCGCGGGAGAATGGCCGATGGTGGAGCCAGTGATGGACAATGCTTGAGGAAGTCTGGCTTCCGGCCAATAAAGGCAGTCGTGGTGACCGCATTGTGTTGAGCCAGCGGTGGGTTTCCTGCAGACCGGCTCCTGCTGTAGAACGGTGCTAGAGTTGCCGTCGGCGTCCCAGTCCTGCGAAGAGAGAGAGAGAGCAGAGACGCAGCCGTTTGACTCGGGTCTAAGAGCTTCCTTTTTGTCTTCTCTCCAGGATCCGAGAGCTGACCACCACCAAGATTGGCACCCTGCTGCGCATCAGTGCGCAGGTTGTGCGCACGCACCCCGTGCACCCCGAGCTGGTAAGAGGCCCTGCCTGGCCAGCGACAAGCGGCGCGTCCGACTCCGTAACGATTTTACAGAGCCTTATAATTGTAGTTTTTGGTGAACGTGCAGTTTCCCAAAAAGTTAGCAAACCCATCCCAGTTCCGTCGCAGTTGCGCTGTGAGCGTGACTGGACGAGATGGCCGTTTGTAACTCTTGCAGAGCCAGTGTGACGCTTCACGTTGTCGAACTGCCCACAGAAAGCGATTATCGCAGAGCGACTTTCGAGATCCCTTGGGTCCACAATAGTAGGAGGCAGCAGATTTCTCACCCACCCTGTCGCCAACAGTAATGTTTGTCATGTGACAGTCAGCCTGTCAATTTTTTAATTCTCAGAGCTGGAATAATTTCCCAATTTAGTACAGAACCAGATTTTATTTGATGCTTTGTGCGGTTGTTGGTGACCAGTGGAAACTGAATCGGTTTATTCACAGGGAGCTGCCTGGATTTGAACCCAGGATCTCGGCGGTGCCCAGTTTGCATTGTGACCTCTGAGTGACAGGACCATCTCCCACCGACATTTGACTGCCAGAGCAAACAGGGAAAAGTTGGCTGTGAATCCAACAGTCCTCGTGTAACATTGTGGATTCACTATCGATCCAGAGCCTTGGAAGTACCCATTTCGGCCTTAAGATTCTAGAATGCATCGTTCATTGGTTTATCGCTCCACTCAATCGAGCTACGGCGGTGCTCCCGAGTTGCGGATCGTGGCTCCTGCGTGTTTGCTGATGGTGCTGTGGGTGCCTGGGCCTTGTCCAGGTGAGCGGCACCTTCCAGTGCCTCGACTGCCAGTCGGTGGTGCGTGACGTGGAGCAGCAGTTCAAGTACACGCAGCCGACCATCTGCCGCAACCCCGTGTGCGCCAACCGACGCCGCTTCCTGCTCGACACCAACAAGTCGCGCTTTGTCGACTTCCAGAAGGTGGGGGTGCCTCTCCTCCCCCCCCACCACCGCCAATGCTACGACGTCCGCACGGCGGCAGGGGGGGGGGGGCGGCGTGTGGGATAGTTGAATGCGTCTGTGCAAGGAGACGTTAACTCTTAGACGGACAATAAGATGGTGCAGATCTTGGGTAGTGGAACCAATGTGTTCCTCCTTGTACAGTGCCGGCCTTAATAGGCGCTCGCTAACAATACTCGCCTAAACAGTCTGTTCCAGACTACACGGATGATGTTTGTGTGTTTCGTGTGGAGCGGTAGTGTAGCGTATGGCGCGCTGCACTATGAACCCGGCGACCCGAGTTGGGTTCCCTCTCATGGCCAACACCAGTGACGATTATCTGAACCGGTCCTGGGCCTCACCTAGGTCGACTTAGCCTCAAATGAGTACCTGGCGAAGTGTGTGAAAACATCGCCACTGGGCAGACAAAAGGCGGCCGGGCGTGGTGCTGGCTACCCACCTCCTCGTGTACCGTGCCGGCCTTCATAGGGGCTACTCCCTAACACGGGGGATCTTTGTCTCTTGGCAAGTGCGGTGGTTGACGGTGGTACGTGCGTGTGTGCCGCGCGTGGTGCAGGTGCGCGTGCAGGAGACGCAGGCGGAGTTACCGCGGGGCAGCATCCCGCGCAGCGTCGAGGTGGTGCTGCGCGCCGAGGCGGTGGAGACGGCGCAGGCCGGCGACCGCTGCGACTTCATCGGCACGCTCATCGTGGTGCCCGACGTCGCGCAGCTCTCCACGCCAGGTCGCTCGCCCGACCCTTACAAAATTGTTGGGAACAAGTATAACCCGTAAAAACAAAGTTTTTCACTATAAATCCTTTATATGCGTGGTGGCTAGAGTCCTCTCGTCCTCTGGCTTGAGATGGCTGCCACCTATGGGTCAGATGATTGCATGGCAGCATTAAGCAATTGGTAATTAAATATTATATTTTTGTCCTAAAAAGTGTAAAATTTTGGAAAAAAAATTTCACGAACATTAATTGTCACGCACAACAAGTCTGTGTGGAAAATGTCAGCTCGATTGGATCACGGGAAGTTGGTTAAAAAACGACCGAAAGATTTGCACGGTCCTAAGCAAGCAAGCAAGCGAACTTAATATAAAGGATTTAAAATAAGTATAACCCGTAAAAACAAAATTTTTCACTATAAATCCTTTATATGCGTGGCGGCTAGAGTCCTCTCGTCCTCTGGCTTGAGATGGCTGCCACCTATGGGTCAGATGATTGCATGGCAGCATTAAGCAATTGGTAATTAAATATTATATTTTTGTCCTAAAAAGTGTAAAATTTTGGAAAAAAAATTTCACGAACATTAATTGTCACGCACAACAAGTCTGTGTGGAAAATGTCAGCTCGATTGGATCACGGGAAGTTGGTTAAAAAACGACCGAAAGATTTGCACGGTCCTAAGCAAGCAAGCAAGCGAACTTAATATAAAGGATTTAAAATAAGTATAACCCGTAAAAACAAAATTTTTCACTATAAATCCTTTATATGCGTGGCGGCTAGAGTCCTCTCGTCCTCTGGCTTGAGATGGCTGCCACCTATGGGTCAGATGATTGCATGGCAGCATTAAGCAATTGGTAATTAAATATTATATTTTGTCCTAAAAAGTGTAAAATTTTGGAAAAAAAATTTCACGAACATTAATTGTCACGCACAACAAGTCTGTGTGGAAAATGTCAGCTCGATTGGATCACGGGAAGTTGGTTAAAAAACGACCGAAAGATTTGCACGGTCCTAAGCAAGCAAGCAAGCGAACTTAATATAAAGGATTTAAAATAAGTATAACCCGTAAAAACAAAATTTTTCACTATAAATCCTTTATATGCGTGGCGGCTAGAGTCCTCTCGTCCTCTGGCTTGAGATGGCTGCCACCTATGGGTCAGATGATTGTCTGCTAGTATTAAGCAATTGGTAATTAAATATTTAATTTGTTTTCCCTAAACAGTGTAAAATTTTGGAAAAAAAATTTCACGGACATTAATTGTCTCGCACAACGAGTCTGTGTGCAAAATGTCAGCTCGATTGGATCACGGGAAGTGGGTTAAAAAACGATCGAAAGATTTGCACGGTCGTAAGCAAGCAAGCACGCAAGCAAGCAAGCAAACTTAATATAAAGGATTTAAAAAGAGCCTCCTTGCACACAAACCGAAAATCCCGCGCAATTAGATTTTTTTTTTATATATAGCGTGTTCTTGATTAAGCGCCGTCTGCGCCGCGCAGCTCGCCGTCTCTCGCGCCCCGCTCACCGCCTGCGACATGTGGCTCCCCCCCCCCCCCCTGGCTGTGACGTGCGATCTCGGTGCAGGCGTTCGTGCCGAGACGAGCTCGCGGGTGACCGGGCGCGACGGCTTCGAAGCGGACGGCGTGCGTGGCCTCAAGGCGCTGGGCGTGCGCGACCTCTCCTACCGCCTGGCCTTCCTCGCATGCCACGCGGAGGCCACCAACCCCCGGGTACATCGATTGGTGCCGCGTGCGGTCGCGTCGGTCGCGCCGCGGTGTTTGCCGTTGCGTCGATCGCCGTCGTGTTGATCGCCGTCGCGTTGACCGCGCTACGCGTGGCGTCTCTGTCATTGGCGCAGTTTGGAGGCAAGGAGATCAGAGAGGAGGACCAGTCGGCCGAGAGCATCAAGAACCAGATGACGGTGGCCGAGTGGGATAAGGTGTTTGAGATGAGCCAGGACAAGAGCCTCTACCACAATCTGTGCTCCAGCCTCTTCCCCACCATACACGGTGCGTCCCGATAACCCCGCTAACCCCGCTAACACCGCTAACCCCGCTAACCCCGCTAACCCCGCTAACCCCGCGCGCACGTCCGGAGGTGATCCGAGCGACCGCTGGGAGGCCGAGTGGCCGAACGGGATGTGGACTGTGAAATGCACTTGTGTTGAATGTGGAGCGATCGATGTGGGAAGGGGTGGGGGGGGGGGGGTTGGTCCGCGACTTCATTTCGACCAACTGTGATGTATGCAATGGATTAGTTGACGGACGTGCGACAGTGATAACGGGTGACGGTGAGCGTAGATGGGGGTCTCGGGAGGGGGGGGACGTCACGCGTGCGGGCGAGCGGCGGGGGGCGTGGGATACGTTGACGAGGGCGGCGACGTGGGCCTGCAGGCAACGACGAGGTGAAGCGCGGCGTGCTGCTCATGCTGTTTGGCGGGGTTCCCAAGAAGACGCTGGAGGGGACGTCGCTCCGTGGAGACATCAACGTGTGCGTGGTGGGGGACCCCAGCACGGCCAAGAGCCAGTTCCTCAAGTGAGTCTGCGGGCACGTGTATACTGGGTGTCGCACACCGCGCCACGTACGTGTGACGCGCTGTGCGTGTGTGACGTCGCTGTGTGTGACGTCGCTGTGTGTGTGTGACGCGCTGTGCGTGTGTGACTTCGCTGTGTGTGACATCGCTGTGTGTGTGTGACGTCGCTGTGCGTGTGTGACGCGCTGTGCGTGTGTGACGTCGCTGTGTGTGACGTCGCTGTGTGTGTGTGACGTCGCTGTGTGTGCGTGACGTCGCTGTGCGTGCGTGACGCGCTGTGCGTGCGTGACGCGCTGTGCGTGTGTGATGTCGCTGTGTGTGACGTCGCTGTGTGTGTGTGACGTCGCTGTGCGTGCGTGACGTCGCTGTGCGTGCGTGACGTGCTGTGCGTGCGTGACGCGCTGTGCGTGTGTGACGTCGCTGTGCGTGTGTGACGCGCTGTGCGTGTGTGACGTCGCTGTGCGTGTGTGACGCGCTGTGCGTGTGTAAACGTCGCTGTGCGTGTGTGACGTCGCTGTGCGTGCGTGACGCGCTGTGCGTGTGTGACGTCGCTGTGCGTGCGTGACGCGCTGTGCATGTGTGACGTCGCTGTGCGTGTGTGACGCGCTGTGCGTGTGACGTCGCTGTGCGTGTGTGACGCGCTGTGCGTGTGTGACGTCGCTGTGCGTGTGTGACGCGCTGTGCGTGTGTGACGTCGCTGTGCGTGTGTGACGCGCTGTGCGTGTGTGACGCGCTGTGCGTGTGTGACGCGCTGTGCGTGCGTGACGCGTTGTGCGTGCGTGACGTCGCTGTGCGTGCGTGACGTCGCTGTGCGCGCTTGACGTCGTTGAGCGCGTGTGACGTCGCTGTGTGTGACGTCGCTGTGCGTGCGTGACGCGCCGCAGGCACGTGGAGGAGTTCTCCCCGCGCGCCGTCTACACGAGTGGCAAGGCGAGCAGCGCGGCGGGCCTCACGGCGGCCGTGGTGCGCGACGAGGAGTCGCACGAGTTCGTCATCGAGGCCGGAGCGCTCATGCTCGCCGACAACGTGAGCTTCCTCGCTCGCACCGGCACTCGCCTCTCGCTCGCGGCCTCGAACGACTTGCCGGCGTGGAGACGGAAGGCGGCCGGTTGCGGTGGCGGCGGCGGCGGCACTGCCCTGTCGTCCCCGTGCCGGCCCACGTAGGCGCCCGATGACGGCGCTTGCCCCGACGGCCTGTGTGCGCCGCACAGGGGATCCTTTGCCATTTTGGTTGTACGTGTGTGCGCGCGCTCGCAGGGCGTTTGCTGCATCGACGAGTTCGACAAGATGGAGCCGCGTGACCAGGTCGCCATCCACGAGGCCATGGAGCAGCAGACGATATCCATCACCAAGGCCGGGGTGAAGGTACGTGTCCCGGGTCCGTTAGCTGCACATCGTCAACTCATCCCTTCGCGGCCGATTAAACGAGTGCCACGCTACGGGTTCTAGCGGCGGGCGGAAGAGCCCGGTCCCCTCCGAGGGGGGGGATGGTCAAGTTGTAGGCAGTTTCAAAACCGCTCCCCGCCAGGGCTTTGAGTGTGGCCGCCCCGTTTGTGGTTCCATCTCGCGCCGACATCCGCTCGTTGTGACCCCGACCCCCGCAGGCGACGCTGAACGCTCGCACGTCGATTCTAGCGGCCGCCAACCCCGTGGGGGGTCGCTACGACCGCGCCAAGTCCCTGAAGCACAACGTCAACCTGTCGGCGCCCATCATGTCCCGCTTCGACCTCTTCTTCATCCTCGTGGACGAGTGCAACGAGGTGGGAGGCGTCCCCAGCACCCACCCCCCACACGCGTGCTTGCCCCCAACCGCTCGTGCAAGCTACGCGGGGGTTCTTTGTCTTTTTCTAGTGCCGAGTTTGATTTCCCCGCCACGCTAATACCGACGACTTTTACCCCGGCTGTCCCGTGATCGGGGGGGCGGCTCTCTTGCGCGTACGCTCGCGACCTCGTTGCCGACAAATCGGAACGTGAAATGTTCCTGTTGCCTCTCCGTGCGGGGAAATCGGCCCTACGCATTCCCTTGTTCACGCGGATTTCCCGTTGCGCAGATTCCCTGTGACAACGGGGTTCGAGAGTGAGGGCCATTGTGCAAGGTGACGCTTGTGTGGTGCCCGTACATTCTTGGACGCCCAGACCCTGGTCACAGACTCAGGGGTATGAACAATACTGGTTCATTGTCTACGACGAGGCCATTATGACCGGTCGGGTGGCACGGCTCTAGAGCGAGTGGTTCGCAATTGGAAGATTGCGAGTTCACATCCTAGTCTTGGGGTTGACTCTTCAGCTCATCGTCAATCCGCGGGTCAATAATGCGAGTACCACTTTTTTCTTCTTCTTGGTTCTTTCAGTAAAGTCACGTAGAATTGAAATAATAAAATAATAAAAATTAAACATAAAATAATTCTCACGACGTTTCGGCCACAACGCAAGTAGCCGTCCTCAGGTGGAGAACAGGTCTGTCGAGGAGACAGTCTGAATGACAAGCCCCAGGCTTGGAGCGACTATTTAAGCTGGGATGGAGGGGCGAAGAGCGCCTTGACAAAATAATTTGCATATCAAGAGGAATTTGACATATTTATGGGAAATGCAGATATGCGATTAGTACTATTTGTGAAATGCGTAGGAGGTTTGGCGAGGGGTTTAAAGTCATTATGCCCGTGCATTATGCAGGATTAGCAGCATCAAAGGGAGGGGATAGGGGTAGCATTAATAAAGGGAAGGAGTGTTAATAGTATGTAGCTACAGTAACTACTTTGTTCATCGCCGGCTCGGGTTAACGCAAGATGAGCGCACCGCCTCAATGGCAATTTGAGTCCCTCTGGACTCTCGTTCACTGCCCTTGACACGGCCATCACGAGCATGCTTGCACGTGCGCGCGTAGGTGACGGACTACGCCATCGCGCGCCGCATCGTGGACCTGCACTCGCACAAGGAGGCAGCGGTGCAGCGCGTGTACTCGCTCGAGGACATGCGCCGCTACCAGCTGTTTGCCCGGCAGTTCAAGCCCAAGGTGCGCCACCCACCCCCCACCACACCACCCTTTCCTCCACCCACCGCTCCCCTCCCAGCCGCCCACAATCCCCGACGGTCGCGGCATCTGAAGCGTGCGTCGGCCCCGTGTCGCCCCGTGTCGCCCCGCGCAGATCACCAAGGCGGCCGAGGATTTCATGGTGGAGCAGTACAAGCGGCTGCGCCAGCGCGACAGCTCGGGCATCACCAAGTCGGCGTGGCGCATCACCGTGCGCCAGCTGGAAAGCATGATCCGCCTCTCCGAGTCCATGGCGCGCATGCACTGCTGTGACGAGGTGCGGTGGTGGTGGTGGTGTGCTGGTGGAGGTGATGTTGTTGCAAGTGGGTTAGTCCCACAACTTTGGCAGCTTCTGAGTGTTAGATTATACACTGGTCAACACACTTTTTCTGGCATAAAGTATTACAACGGTTTTAAGGTAATTTTGGTGGTGCTGATTCCAGATCTGGCATCAGTTTTTGTCTATCGCATCAGGTTTTTAAGATATCAAATATTGCATTTTCAATAAAAACTGTAGAAGAAAAATATTAAATAAATGTGGATATCTACATAAAATGATATTATAAACACACTATCCTTAAAATACAGCACCATATTTTAACACTAAAGCAGTCACTGACTCGCAACAACTTGCAATCATAAGTGACAGAGTTAATTTCGGGTAAAATCAATGAAAATGGGGTATGCCGCTAGCATAAAATGAGATGTGATAGAGCAAATCTGAGATCAGATTTGGAATCGGCACCCTGAAATTAGTCTAAAACATCTTCTTGGTTCTTTCGGTAAAGTCACGTAGAATGGAAATAATAAAAATAAAACATAATAAAATAATTTTCACGACGTTTCGGCCACAACGCAAGCAGCCGTCCTCAGGTGTAGAACAGGCCTGTCTATTTTATTATTTCCATTCTACGTGACTTTACCGAAAGAACCAAGAAGATGAATCCCTGCAGTCACGAAAGCTTTAAATCGAAATAGTCTAAAACAGCTGCAAAAGTCCAGGCCAGAAAAAAATGTTTTATTTTTGTTGACCAGTGTTTTTTTTGCTACTGTGTTAATGTCCGAATGGTACGCCACTTTTGTTGAACTATCGTTTGTGGCCAGGTCGCTTTTGAAAAATCGGTGAATACATCGGTTGGGCATTGCCTGGCAGGATGGGGATGGTTTTAGTGTTGTATTTGTTTGTGTTTGGGTGATTTGTTTACCTTTTACTTTGCACTCCTTTCGTGTTTTTAAATCCTTTATATTAAGTTCGCTTGCTTGCTTGCTTACGACCGTGCAAATCTTTCGGTCGTTTTTTAACCCACTTCCCGTGATCCAATCGAGCTGACATTTTGCACACAGACTCGTTGTGCGTGACAATGTATTTTCGTGAAAAAAAAATTCAAAAATTTTGCACCTTTTATGAAAAAAAAAATTCTAATTAATTACCAATTGCTTAATGGTGGCAGACAATCATCTGACCCATAGGTGGCAGCCATCTCAAGCCAGAGGACGAAAGGACTCTAGCCGCCCGTTTCAAAGACCAATGTGGGCTGGGTTGTGGCCCATTGAACACGCATATAAAGGATTTATAGTGAAAAACTTTGTTTTTACGGGTTAAGTTTTTTGTACTGTTGTAACGTTCTTACCCGCCCCTACCCGCCCCTTATTAGGCATCTGTGAAAAAGAGCTTCATAGCTCATCAGATTCCTCTAGGAGAAATATTCTGATTCTGAAATATCATGCAGTGTTTTCCAAATGATTCTCGTAAAACACTTTGGGGTGTCACTTCCAATGTTGCTGTCACTGGAGAGAATCTGACCTCGTTAGGAATTGGTCAGTTAAGTTGACACGCGCACACACGAGTGACTGGAGCGTGACCAATCCCGTTGTGGATGACAAAGTTAGTTCTTTACGCGTACATCCTAACACCGTGGAGCCATTTCATTAGCATTTCCTCCCTCCATGAAAAATGTGTATCAATAATATATCTCCCGATCACAGCCGCAATTGGTTGCCGTATCGTGCCTCACAGTGAAAGTAGTAAGTTAAACCAGTGACCGCCCACGTCTTTTGCAATGTCTTGTTACACACGCGCGTTGCAAATTGTATTGTGTTATGATTGTTATTGGGATCAAACATCGAAATGGAATTTTTTGCACTTTCTGTGCACAGCATGGGAGGACGGGTTGCGCTTTTTCCGTAAGATTTTATTGTTTTCGTACGTGATGTTCAAATTTGTGTGCAATGAATTTTAGGTGTATCTTGTAATTGTATTGTTTGTTGCGGTTGAACCCAAATCAAGAGCCAAATGGCTCACAGGGTAAAATCCTGATAAATGTAACTGAAACTGAATCTGCGTCTCTGGGGGCTCTAGGTGCAGCCCAAACACGTGAAGGAGGCCTTCCGGTTGCTTAACAAGTCGATTATCCGTGTGGAGACGCCCGACATCAACCTGGATCAGGACGAGGACTACCATGCGAGCGAGGAGGCCTCAGGTCAGCGCTCCATGCCGCCTTCACCACCCCAAGCGGGAAGCAACGGTGCCATCACCATCATCAAGACCACCATCATCATCATCAAAACGACCATTGCCATCATCAAAACCACCACCATTGCCATCATCAAAACGACCACCACGATTACCATCATAAAAAGGACCACCATCATTGCCATCATCAAAACGACCACCACCATTGACATCAAAACGACCACCACCATTGCCTTCAAAACCACCATTTCTATCATCCAAACGACCGCCACCACCATTGCCATCATGAAAACGACCACCACCATTGACATCAAAACGACCACCACCATTGCCATCATCAAAACGACCACCACCATTGCCATCATCAAAATGACCACCACCATTGCACTCGTCAAAACCACCACCACCATCATCGCCACCACGGGGTGGTTCTTTCTCTCTCCACCACCTCGCCTAGAATCCCTCCCACCTCGATCCGGGGGTTCCTCAGGTTTCCAGCACACTCATCTTCTTGGTTCTTTCGGTAAAGTCACGTAGAAGGGAAGTAATAAAATAATAAAAATAAAACATAAAACAATTCTCACGACGTTTCGGCCACAACGCAAGCAGCCGTCTTCAGGTGGAGAACAGGTCTGTCAAGACTGTCTACTTGACAGACTCTCTACTTGACAGACCTGTTCTCCACCTGAGGACGGCTGCTTGCGTTGTGGCCGAAACGTCGTGAGAATTATTTTATTATGTTTTATTTTTATTATTTTATTACTTCCCTTCTACGTGACTTTACCGAAAGAACCAAGAAGATAAATCCCTGCAGTCACGAAAGCTTTAAATCGAAATTTACCAGCACACTCTTTCCCAACAGTGGCTACAGTCTTAAGCGCGAAGTTGGTTTTGTTTTAGCCCCAGGTGGAGAACTCAAGATACCGGGATATAGTCTCGGGCGCAAGAGTCACACGGACGATTGAAAGAACCAAGAAGATGAATCCCTGCAGTCACGAAAGCTTTAAATCGAAATTCTCAAGGTTGTCGTGGAATCGCGACGTGAAATTTCAACCTGTAACGCGCAATACAGTGCTCGCAGACAAGATAGAAGGGCAGCAGCGGCGGCCGCAGTCAAGTGGCGAGCCGCTGCTGCCAACAATTTCCCAAGCTCTGCGGTCCCCTATATATATTGAGATGTTTTCAACCAATTGATGAGTTTGTGTGTGAGGAAACCAGAGCACGGGGAGAACACCCACGCACGTGATGGGGACAACTTTTTATCCCGTACAGATCAAACAGGTGGAGGTTAGCGTGGTACCGCCTTCTCCTCGGTGCTTGATCGCGGGCCGCGTGCATAGCCACGAGCTGGAATATACACGCGGAGTTGCCGTTTCGCAACCAGAATGTTCCGCAACAGACTTTTCTGACTTTGTGGCACCACCCCCGCTCTCCCAGACGGCGTCGACGGCGTAAACGGCGTAAACGACGGCGTAAACGACGGAACGAACGGGGGAACGAACGGGGTAACGAACGGCTCTGTGCACGCGGCCGACCCTGAGAGTCCCCCGCAAAAAGTGGGGGCCGCCCCCCCCACTCCCGCCAAGGCCTCTCTCCGTCTCTCCTTCAGCGAATACCGGCGCCTCTCCAACCTGCTGGTGCTGCACCTGCGCCGCATGGAGGGTAATGATTACGACCATGGGGGTTTGCTTTTGGCGAAACGCCCTCCCAGTGCACACGGTCACGTGGCGCTACCCTTTCCTCCGGTACCTCGTTGCTCGCCACACGTGAGCCCCCTCCTGATGCCCTCTCTGGGAATGAATCCTGGCCCTCGGTGGCCCCTTGGTAGAATGGTCTCAGTATGACGAGTTCTTGCTGATCGTGTGGTGCTGGGCTTGGTGGTTACAGCAATGTGATGTGCTGGTTGTAGTGATGTGGTGGAAGTTGTGTGCCGTGTGCATGACTAAGCTGTGTGCTTAACTACCAGCGGTGTGCGTGACCGCGCGTGTTGCCCCGCAGAGCTGGAGGATGTGTCGGTGCGCAGGGGGGAGCTGGTGGAGTGGTACCTGAAGGAGATTGAGAGTGAGATCGAAACCGAGGCTGAGCTGGTCACCAAGAAAACCGTCGTGGAGAAAGTGATCTACCGGCTAGTGCACTATGTGAGTAACAACAACCGCCATTCGCCACTAGGTGATGGTGACATCACCACGGCGTTTGTGCCGGGCTAGGTACACTTTAAGGCCACGTGAAGTGTTGAACGCCCGCTGACTGAGATGACTGGCTGATGCACCACCTGTGTCCCCTACTGTTCCAACTTGCTGCGTTGTATCCGCCCGGCGCTCGGTTCGTTGTGAGAGCGTCGCTCTCTTTTGCCCTCCGTTGTTGTTGGAGGGCGACTGCCTCCAACTGCCCCGTGGCATCCTTCGCGGGCCTCCGCCACAGAGCTCCACCATGCTCGCCACCACTCGCCACTAACCGCCGCTGCATCACTACTGCGCAGCACATTTGAAAGTACACATCTACGTGTGTGACTTCCTGCGTGCGTGTTTGTGATTGCACAAGTATGTGATTGCACATGTGTATGTCTGTATGTATCTGCATGCGCGTGCGTGCGTGCGTGCGTCAGGATCACGTTCTGATCGAGATCGCTCAGACCGGCCTCGGACAGCGGCGTCGAGGCGAGGGCGACGAGGTGGTGCAGGAGGAGGACCCCTTCCTCGTTGTCAACCCCAACTTCGTCCTGGAGGACTGAGGAAACCCCGCTCCACCTCTCCCCTCCACTCGCCGACACGCGCCACCTCCACCCACTTGCTACGACCAACTCCTCCGCACGCAGCCTCCACCTCCCGCTGAAGCCCTTCTCTCTCCTAATTAACCCCGACTTCTCCACCCACCGTCTTTCCGTGCGGTGCGGTCAGCCGTCGAACCTCATGGCTTTGCTCTGCAGCGCCGTTGGTACTGCAAGTGGCCGCGTTGCGTGCCGAGCGAGCAGCAGAGGCAGTGACGTTGGCTGATGCAGGACCGCGTGGGCACGACCGCGTTGCGTTGTGCAGGGCAGGTGGTCTGCCACGAATGGCGCGTGTGGCTGTGTGTAGTGTGGTGTGTCGTGTGGGTGCGTAGTGTCGTATCGTCGTGCAGCGGTTAGCGTGTTGTGATACGAACCCGGCGACCCGAATTCGATTCACGCTCACAGCCAACACGAGTGAGGATTATCTGAACCGGTAATGGGCCTCCCCTAGGGCCACTCAGCCAAAAATAAGGGATTCGTGCGGTGTGTGGACATCGCTAGTAGGGGAACAAGGCGGCCGTTTGTGGTGCTGGCCACCCACCCCCCCCTTCGTGTGCCATGCCGGCCTTCATAAGTGCTCGCAAACAGCAATTGTCCCAACAGTCTGCTCAGACTATGTTGGGAAAGCATCGTATCGCAGTGTGTGCGCGTGGTTCGTTGCGGACTGAAGGTGTTGTGATTCACGCGCTGCGTTCACAGTCCTTGCAGCCCGATTTAATGATGTGCCTAGCCGCAACGCAGAAATGTTGAGTGGCGAGCGGAGTTTGACCCGGCTTGGGCCTCTCCGAGATAGACTCGAAAACGAGCACTGGGTATGTTCGGTATTGTTCTGTGGAGCCCATGGCTGCAGGGCGTTTTTTGGCCAAACTGCCCCTTCGTGTGTCGTGCCAGCCTTTCATAGATGATGCCCTCTCTCTGACTGTGCTCGCCCTTGTATTCTACAAGGCCAGACCTGGATGTTTTTTCTCTGCGTCTCTGCTTCTGATTGACGTGGCCACGTGTTGCTTTGTTTGTTTCGCGTCTTCGTTGTGATTTCCTGGGTTACTGCACCAATGCGTGACATGTTACCTGTCCCGGTTGTCTGTATTCGAGTTTGTTTTTTTCAACTGCAGTTTCAAGTAATAAAGGCACACGATGCAGCCATAGACACAATCGTTATTTTTTTTTTTAAATATCAGTGGAACCCTACATCCTACAGACTCCAGCCATATACCTACCGTTCGACTTGTCTCACCGAGACACTTTTAAGGCTACATAGAACTTGTTTTAAATACCATTTTGCTTTTTTAGGCTTCTCAATTGTTTTCTATTTCATTTCCAGAGTCCCAATGCCACTTCCAGGAGTCGGAATTCCACATCGGGGGGTCCGAATTGCAACGGCATGGAATTGGGACTCCCGAAATAGCTGTAACTCTATTTAGGGTTAGGGCTTTCGGGTGAGGTGACTACATGTGGATTCAGATTAGGGTCAGAGCTATAGGGTTGAGATGGTTATATGTGCACTGCAGGTTAGGGCTATAGGGTTGAGGTGGCTATGTGCACTATAGGTTCTACAAAAGTCACGTGATGCCCTCTTGCGGGCAAATGCACAACTGCAGCTTCTCCAATGCAAGGAATAAAATAACTGAACAACAGCCTCCACATAATGTGAGTGGTCCTACTCATTCCATCAGCTGCACAAACTGCATCTCATCAACTGCATTGATTCAACACAAGCAACACCCTGAACAGGCTTGGTCAGCAGTCGGGCTTGCTTGAACGAGCACTGGAGAACTGCCAGATGTTATTGGCAGGCAACCAACTCTTCGATGTGGGTCCTAGTTTAGCAGTGGCCTGGCCCTGCTGCTACCAGCTGCAGTGCACGGAGACGCGGCACCCTCCCGTGGGGGAATCTGTGGCTGCAGATTAGTGGAGTGGAAGCTGCGTTGGAAGCGGTGCACGAACGCAATTGACAGCAAAACACACTCGACACATTCGTCAATAACATCGTGTAGGTCTTAAGAGAATGACTACCAGCGACCAGAGGTCGCAACCGGGTACCCGATACGTACCCGGCTGGGTACGGGTACCCGTTTGCGACCCTGGTGCGGCCGGGTAAGGGTAGGCCATGAGTCACTGGTGAGTAACTGTCGCTCATTTCCCAACGTCTTGTCTCTTCTCACAATTCAAGTTCCTAGAATCAACCCACCTGCGCCTGCAACATGGCTTCATCCCAGAGGTCGCAATCAGGTACCCGATACCCGTACCCTACCCGGATACGGGTAGGGTACAGGTACCCGTTTGCGACCCTGGTGCGGCCGGGTACGGGTAAGGAATCACAACCCGTTTGCGACCTCTGCCAGCGACCCTTCGGAAAGTGGTCCTGTCCAAAACAGCGTCTCGTTACTTCACCAGCGGGCAACAACCTTTCGGCCCAGTAGCCGGGTTGGTTCGTGGCTTCGTCCCGTGACCTCTTGGTGGTGGTGGCAGTGGAAATGGGACTTGAACCCTGGGATGAGGAGGCGGCCTCGTTCGCTTAACAACCGAACCAACACGGACACCCGCCCTGGCACGGTCGCCGTGGTGACGTCCCCGTCACTTAGTTGCGAATGGCGGGTATTAACACATTCCTGCTGCGGAGGGAGCTGGTAGGAACGTCGGGTTGCTCGGTCAATGGCCTGCAGGGTCAACGGCGGCGTGGTGTATTCCGCAAATATGCCCGACTGTGAGGGCGGGCACAAGCCGGCGTGAGTAGGTTAAACGTTGAGTTTTATAAGGGCACCACGGGGTGAACAGACCCTCCCCACCCAGCCCCACCCAGCCCCTCTCTGCACGACGGACGGACGGACACAATAATCCCCTGTGGGCTGGTGTAACCAGAGGTTCCTACCAGTATTATTACTGGCCTTACAGCCCGTCCAAGGACGGGTGTACTGCAGTAAATATGACTTTGTAGGATGATAATCGGTTGAACAGGTATGCGTGGTGACGTCACCACGCTCAGGTTGATTGGAGCGCCTCCTGCGTGGTGACGTCACCACGCTGAGGTTGATTGGAGCCAGGTTGCGTGATGACGTCACCACGCTCAGGTTGAGGTTGATTAGAGCACCTGCGTGGTGACGTCACCACGCTAAGGTTGATTGGAGCCAGGTTGCGTGATGACGTCACCACGCTCAGGTTGATTGGAGCGCGCCGCTGCGTGGTGACGTCACCACGCTCAGGTTGATTCAAGCGCCGCTGCGTGGTGACGTCACCACGCTAAGGTTGATTCGAGCGCCGCTGCGTGGTGACGTCACCACGCACAGGTTGATTAGAGCACCTGCGTGGTGACGTCACCACGCTCAGGTTGATTAGAGCGCGCCGCTGCGTGGCGACGTCACCACGCTCAGGTTGTTTGGAGCGCCGCTGCGTGGTGACGTCACCACGCTCTGGTTGATTGGAGCGCCGTTGCGTGGTGACGTCACCACGCTCAGGTTGATTCGAGCGCCGCTGCGTGGTGACGTCACCACGCTCTGGTTGATTGGAGCGCCGTTGCGTGGTGACGTCACCACGCTCAGGTTGATTCGAGCGCCGCTGCGTGGTGACGTCACCACGCACAGGTTGATTAGAGCACCTGCGTGGTGACGTCACCACGCTCAGGTTGATTGGAGTGCGCCGCAGATGAAATCGATGCACTTGCTGCTCGTAGTGTCCCACAAGGGAGGTGTAGTCCTCTTAAAGAGATCTATGATCCGAGAACAAATACCGTACTAGCATCCTACCTTTCAGAAGCACTGATGGAGGCCAGTTACTGACTGATGCGCGTGACATCCACGGAGATATGGACATAGGGTTTCTCCACTTGGCTCAACCAAGTAAAACAAAACACATTGGAAACACATTGATCCAAACCCAACAAGTCAAACCCATGAAGAGTACCAGCGAGTGAGTGGTGCATGGACAAGATGGAATTCCACCACAAGTGTACAAACGCGGAGGCGCGGAACTGAAGACCATCCGCGCTCCTCGAGTGCGGTCATGGAACAAGAAGAGCGTCATATTCTTGGTTCTTTCGGTAAAGTCACGTAGAAGGAAAATAAGAAAGTAATACAAATAAAACAATACAATTCTCACAATCAATCATCATCAGGCGTGAAAACCACAACGACTATTTTTTTTTTTAAATCACAGCAAGAAAAAAAATTCAAACATTTTCTTGCTGTGGTTTTCACACCTGATGATGATTGCTTGTGTTGCAATCGAAACATCGTGAGAATGTTATTGTTTTAAGTTTATAATTTTATTATCTTACCATTTGCCTTCTAAGTGACTTTACCGAAAGAACCAAGAATATGAATCCCCGCAGTCACGAAAGCTTTGAATCGAAATAAGAAGAGCTTCCCCAGAAATGCAAAGATGCCCTCGTTATTATTACAATAGACAAGCGCGCAGGTGACAGAGCAGACTGCAAAAGCCATCGTGGTAGCTCACTTCTGTCAACATCGGGGGAAGATCCTTGCCAATATACTCCTGAAATGGCTGAAAGTCATTGCGGAGCAAGTCCTACCTGAGAATCAGTGTCCTAGCTGAGAGTCAGTGTGTGGTTTTCGTGCAGGAAGATCAACAAATGACACGATTTTCACCCTCAGACAAACAGGGAAAAGCGGCTGAACAGCAACAATATCTTTTCGTGGTTTTTGTCGATTTCTCAAAAGGCATTCGACGCGGTGGACAGAACCACACTCTGCAAAAGTTCTAAGACCCTATGGATGTCCAGAGCACTTTGTAAACATCATCTGGTGGTTTCATGCTCAACATCAATGCAGAAAAATTAACCCGTAAAAACAAAGTTTTTCACTATAAATCCTTTATATGCGTGTTCAATGGGCCACAACCCAGCCCACATTGGTCTTTGAAACGGGCGGCTAGAGTCCTCTCGTCCTCTGGCTTGAGATGGCTGTCACCTATGGGTCAGATGATTGTCTGCCACCATTAAGCAATTGGTAATTAAATATAAAAAAAAATTCCTAAAAGGTGTAACATTTTGGAAAAAAAATTTCACGAAAATACATTGTCACGCACAACGAGTCTGTGTGCAAAATGTCAGCTCGATTGGATCACGGGAAGTGGGTTAAAAAAACGACCGAAAGATTTGCACGGTCGTAAGCAAGCAAGTTAACTTAATATAAAGGATTTAAAACAAGTAAACCCGTAAAAACAAAGTTTTTCACTATAAATCCTTTATATGCGTGGCGGCTAGAGTCTTCTCGTCCTCTGGCTTGAGATGGCTGCCACTTATGGGTCAGATGATTGCCTGCCACCATTAAGCAATTGGTAATTAAATATTTAATTTGTTTTCTCTAAACAGTGTAAAATTTTGGAATTTTTTTTCACGAACATTAATTGTCTCGCACAACGAGTCTGTGTGGAAAATGTCAGCTCGTTTAGATCACGGGAAGTGGGTTAAAAAACGACCGAAAGATGTGCACGGTCGTAAGCAAGCAAGCAAGCACGCAAACAAGCAAGCACGCAAGCAAGCAAGCGAACTTAATATAAAGGATTTAAAAACAAAGTTTTTAAATCCTTTATATGCGTGGCGGCTAGAGTCTTCTCGTCCTCTGGCTTGAGATGGCTGCCACCTATGGGTCAGATGATTGTCTGCCAGTATTAAGCGATTGGTAATTAAATATTTAATTTGTTTTCCCTAAACAGTGTAAAATTTTGGAAAAAAATTTTCACGAAAATTAATTGTCACACACAACGAGTCTGTGTGGAAAATGTCAGCTCGATTGGATCACGAGAAGTGGGTTAAAAAACGAGCGAAAGATTTGCACGGTCCTAAGCAAGCAAGTACGCAAGCAAGCAAGCACGCAAGCAAGCAAGCAAGCACGCAAGCAAGCAAGCGAACTTAATATAAAGGATTTAAAAAAAAGGGAAAAGCCTCTCAGCATCAACACCATTAACTGCACAACACAAATCCCATTCAGTAGACGAGACACACTTTCCCAGAGTGGCCGACACTTCTGCTCAAGGGCTGGCCTCACATCACACCAGCGGGCAGGAAATGCGATGAACAGCCGAAGAATGTTAAATCCCCCCATAGACTTCAATGTTAAAGACTCCCATAGACTTCAATGTTAAAGACTCCCATAGACTTCAATGTTAAAGACTCCTATAGACTTCAATGTTAAAGACTGCCATAGACTTCAATGTTAAAGACTCCCATATACTTCAATGTTAAAGACTCCCATAGACTTCAATGTTAACAACTCCCATAGACTTCAATGTTAAAGACCCCCATAGACTTCAATGTTAAAGACTCCCATAGACTTCAATGTTAAATCCTCCCATAGACTCCAATGTTAAAGACTCCCATAGACTGCAATGT